CTTTGTCAAAGATGAGGTGGCTGAGTATGTCTGGAGTTGTTTCTGCATCTTCTAATCTATTCCACTGATCCTCAGGTCTGTTTCTTTGCCAATACCATGCTGTTTTTATCACAGTAGCTTTGTAGTATAGTTTCAAATTGGAGATTGTGATACCCCCTGCCATATCTCTGTTGCCTAGAATTGCTTTTCCTATTCTAGGTCTCTTCTGGTTCCAAATGAATAAAGGTATCCCCATGATGAAGGTTATATTCTTTTATCCCAGCATTGTTGGTTAAAATGATGGCATTACCTAGGGATGAGAAAGAAGCAATATGATCATTTTGGTTTATGGATTTCTAAGTTTTAAAAAATAAATTAATCCTCCCCCCAAAAAAAGAGTGAAGCTTAGAGGGCTGTTGATGTAGCTCAGTGGTAGAGCACTTGGCTAGAAGGTTCAAGCCCTGGGTTCAATCCTCAGCACATCAAGAAAACCAAAAACAGAATAATTAAGTGGGTTTCAGGGTTTGTATCTTGATAAATTCTAAAGTGCTTTCATTTCCACTCTGCTTCTTGGGTTCCGTTTCTCTACAGATTTTATACTCCCTGGCCAGTTCATCCTCCGTAGATGCTAGGAAACCATCAACAGGTGTCACTGTGACAAACAAAAAAGATAACTGATTCCTTTGTAACTGATGCCTATTAGCGTGAAATCACGACCTGCTTTGTTTGGCAGAGGGGCTCACCTGAGCCCCAGCACAGAGACCTATTCCAGATGACTGAGAAAGTCCAGTTGGGACTATAGTTTATTTTATTTATTTATTTATTTATTTATTTATTTATTTATTTATTTGGGTACCAGGGATCAAACTCGGGACCTTGCGCTTTCAAGGCAGGAGGTAGAACCACTGAGCTAAATCCCCAGCCCTGGACCATAGTTTATTTGAGGGGACAGAAAGTTCAAGTACCTTGTTCCATCAGCAAAACAAGCCCTTCTGGTCTTTTCAGCTGGACCAGAAGCCACTGGGGCAGGTGTCTCATCCTGTCCTCTGGGAACTGCCCATAGAGCCTGGCCCAGTACCTGGCTATGGATGAAATGCTGGTAGGGATCACGTGGCTTTTAAGGAGATGGGATTTTCTACAAACCCAGGTGGAGAGGACTGGGCGGGGCAGAGAAAACCAAAGCATCGGACACCTTGGGGCAGAGGCCATGAAGCCTGACTGGGACAGCAGCAGTGCCAGGATTTCTCCACAGAGCCGGACTCCTCAGGCCCAGGAGAGGTCCTGGGTTTTGGTTTGTGAGAAGCAGCACCTTTCAAACCCAAAGGCTCTGACACATGGTCATTGTCCCACCCCAGAATGGCACGGAGGTCTCAGTTGGGGATCTGGGGAGAGTCGCCTTTGTCCCAGAGCCTTGGGTGTCTGGAGGGTGAGGAAGTAGCAGGACATCAGGCACACAGATGAGGATGGAGGGGCGCTGGCAACAAAGTGCTTTGTGAGTGATTCGCTGGGCACAGATGGCAGAGAGGGTCATTGTCACTCTGTAGGGTAACTAAGCTTGGGCCGCTTCAGAGGGTAGGGCCAGGGCCAGACACACACACAAACCACACACACACACACACACACACACACCCTGCACTCAGGCCTCCGCATCAGACTCCCCTGAGAAATGTCCCGCATGCAGATTCCTGGGCTCTACCTCAGACCCATCAGATCTGAGACTTTGGTGAATGAGAAAACTTGGAGGCCACATTTTCACAAACCTCTGCAGGTGACATCAATGCCAACTCCTATCTGGGAACTACTGTGTCTGAGGCCCAGAATGCATGGACCCTGCAGGCTCGGGGGCGGAGCTCAGGACACCCACCACCCCCTACAGACCAGGGTGCTGCTGGTGCCCAGGCCCAGAAGGAGGGCAGGTGGGAAGGCTCTGGGGCAGACTGTGGGCCAGGGGAAAAGTCCCCACTGGGAGTCACAGCCAGGTGGGGGAACAGCTGGGGACAATGACTGAGTGAGGAGGGGAAGTGAGGGCCCAGGGGGAAAGAGCAGGAGTGCCTCCCTCGAGGTAGATGGGATTCTGGGGCTGGAACCTGGGTGAGGACAGCCACCCACTGCAAGAGGCTGGGCCAGGCCTGGGGAACAGAACCTCTCTCCCAGATCCTCCTCCTCCCCTCCAGCGGCTCCTGAGTCTGTCCAGACCGGTGGGTGACTTCACACCTGGCCCAGCTGTGCCCCTGACAGCTGTGTGACCCAGGGGAAGGTCCAACCCCTCTCTGGGCCCGGGACCCCTGCAAGATCCCCTCCTTCCAGTTCCCAGCCTTGGATTCAGCCAACGAAGCTGGTCCCCCTCCGCCCTACACACTCCCTATTCCTGAGAACGTGCTGCCACCTGGTGGCCATAGGGAGAAATCCCTCCTAGGGCCGCCTGCGGGCCTGGGGCAGCCCAGGTGCCTTTGCAGACTACACCGTGGTTGAGGCTGGTCACCTGCACGCCCTCAGCCCCAGCTGTCACCCACTCCCCAGGCCTGGAGGCCTCACTACTGGATCCATCCTTGGCATCAAAGGCCACTGCAAAGGTGGAGACCAGGGAGGGTCATTAGCTCATGTGACAGCCATTACAGGAGAATCTGGCTCATTTGCTCATTCAGTTACTAACATTTATTAAGGACCCACCACAACCAGAACACAGGAGAAGGAGGCCAGCGAGGGCCCCACAGGCTCTGGGAGCAGGAGAGGCAGCGAGACACTGATGCTCAAGGAAGTAGGCTAATTGCACCTGGCAGCCCGCATTGAAGTCAGTGTCATGGCAGGGTGGTAGAAACTGTCACAGACGGGGAGCTTCTTTAGATGCAGCCATTTCGAGGGTCCCCGAGGAGGTGCCTGGGGATGTCTGCAAAGCCCCAGTGTGACTGACACCTAGGTTGGGGCATGAGGAGGTTGGGAGGTCACAGGGGCCCTCATGTGCTCCTGTCACCCCCATTCACAGAAGCATGTGGCAGTTTGTGGTTATGCTTGTGCTTGTGTTTGCTTGTTACATAGCTTCTTGTCTGTCTCACACCAGTCCCACACTCCCCAGGGCAGGAATCCGCCTGTTGGGGTCACCCCTCTAGCCCGACATCTAGCCCGGTGCTCAGCACATGGGAACATTCCGAGCCAATCTGCCAGATGGATGAATATCTGTGTCTTTGAGAGGAAGCAGTGGCCAGGTACAGTGGAGGCCACGATGCCAGAACTGGGACTTATCTGCCTGGCACCAGGGAGCCACAGAAGACTCTAGGGGAAGAGAGAAAGTAGTCAGATCTGGATACAGGGCCTGTTGAGGGAGCCAGTGAATCCCACTGGTGGAGGTGGGAAGCGCTGTCTCCTCCCTCAGCCTGATGCAAAACGGGAGAGGAGGACACAGCGGCTGCAAAATGGGGAGGCTGGGTTGGGGAGGCAGAAGGGAACCTGGGCGAGGTGGGCCAGCCTTGGGGACATCAGTCTGTGGGTATCAGAATCCCCGGGGACAGGAAAGTATCCCCCAATGGGTGTGCCCTGGGGAGGGGCATGCAGTCACCCTGAGGCGTGTGCATCCTCCAGAAGCCCATTCCTAGCTATCCTGGAGCCCTGGCCTCACCACCCTTGGGTACAAGGCAGCCCGGCCCCTCTTCTCAACCCCCACCCCTGGGTGTCCACCTCGACCAGGGTGGGATGTGGGCCTCCGGGGGGCCCTGAGTCCCCTGTAAGAACCCCCGAAGCGGCTCTATTCCTGGCTCAGCCTGGCATGTAATGGGCTGACCTCTGACCTTCCCCTGCCCCTCTGCTCCCCAGAGCTCTGCCCTCTGGGTTAGGTCAGTGATGAAAGCCAGTGCGAGCCCAAGGGGGTGGGGAGGAGAGGGACAGTGCCTGATTGTTCCCCACCCCTGGCAGAACGGCCATGGTGAGGAGTGGTGGAGAAGTGCCTGGGTCCTTGCTCGCCCTCTCTCTCTTTTCTATCAGGGGGTCCCCAACTCCAGGGGAAGCTGTTATCTAGGCAAGTGCATCCTGTGCCTCATGGGGGAAAGAGCCTGGGACCAAAGCCAGAGGGAAGACCTTGGTTTTCACTGCTCCTCTGGGCTGCAGTAACCTCAAGTGTAAAATGGGGCCCAGCCCTGCAGGAAGCCTCCAGGAATGCCCGAGGAAGACGATGCAAAGGCCCTGTCCCTCCTCTCCCGGCCCCTGCCTGCCGTGCTGCACCCAGGCTCCAGCTGAGCTCTAGACAGGCGGGCCCTGCTCCTCTATCGGGCACCTCAGCGATTCTGAGTGCTCTGCCAGCTCTAGCAGGTTTCGGAATCAGCTTGGGGAGCTCTGCAGAAAAAGCAGGCAGGAGGTTTGATTGAATGACCCTATGGAAGTTGCTAACTACCTCTGCATTGATTTACTTCTCGCTTAAGGAAATTCTCAGGTGTGCAAAATCAGAGCGTAGTGAGGCTTTCTAACCCAACACCAAGCTCCACCAAGAACCCTCACGGCCACGCCCAGTCTGATCTGCACCTGTCTGTCCCAGCAGTCTTTATTCTGAAGCAAAGTTCATAAGTCTTCTTTAATGCTTTCTAATAAAGTGTTTTGTGGGGTTTTTTGCCGGAGCTTTAATTGTCAAGTAATTATAGACTCACAGGAAGTTGCAAAAATGGTACAAAGAAGTCCCAGTGCTTCCACCCCATTACCCTCAAAAGAGCATCTTGGTCGCTAGAGACTTCTGTCACAACCAAGGCATCAGCCTTGATGCCATCCACAGACCTGGTCCAGAGTTTGCTGGTTCTCCACACTCAGATGTGCGCATGTGCGTGTTTCTCTGCAATTTCGTAACCGGCGGATTTGCATAATTCCTACCGCAACCACCATGAAGACCTGTTCAGTCACCACTAAAACCGCTGGTATTATCCCTGCAGAGTAATGGGCAACTCCCCACAGTCTCTAGGGACCACCACTCTGTGAGAATCTCTATGGTTTTGTCATTTTGAGAATGTCATTAATGACGGCACCCAGCACGAAAAACTTCCAGGTAAGCTTTTTCCCTTCAAGATAATTCCGTGGAGCTCCATCAGGGCCTCTGCGAATATCGAGTTGTTATTTGTTACTGCTGAGCAGTGTTCCGAGGCAGGCGTGGAAGAGTGTGTTTAACCAATCGCTCACTGGAGGCCTTTTAGGTTATTTCCAGTGTTTAACTGTGGCAAATAAAGCTGCCCTGCCAATCGTGTGGCTATGTGTGGTCACCTCCATGGGATAAGTGCCCAGGGGTGCTATTGCTTGCTGGGCCCTACAGTAACTGTGTTTAGTATTTTGGAGGGTTTT